ATGAGTGTAGTCAATGTGGAAAATCTTTTAAGAGCGGTAGTCACCTCCTTTACCACAAGAGAACTCACACGGGAGAAAAGCCATATGAGTGCCGAGATTGTGGGAAGGCCTTCAGCCAGAAATCCAAGCTCGTGGACCACCACAGAAGTCACACTGGGGAAAAGCCTCATGAGTGCAGTGAGTGTGGGAAATGTTTTCGCTACAAACCGAGCCTCCTCAGACATCTGAGAGGTCACACTGGAGAAAAGCCCTAAATGTGCAGAGAATGTTTTATCTTTCATCTTTTTCACTCTACAACACTAAGGAGACTCAGACCCATTTACCTGAATATAAACGCCTTTTATCTGAACATATACTCTGCTAGATTCCTCATTGGCCACAGGTACAAGTGAGGCCTGAAGGAGCTGCATTGCACTTGCTAACTTGCTGAGGACTCTTACCTCATTGATGTCACTGCGAGTAATTGTGGCTGAAGAGACCTCCTCTACCACCTGCCTCACCTGAACAGTGTGCACCTGTCACCACCCCTCTGGTGCGCTCAGGGAAAAGGAATTCTGTGTTCTCCCTTGTGTATGAGGAAGTTATGAATACTCTGAGCTCTTGGCAGGAACTTTATTCCTTACTCTCTAGAGCAGCCATGGGCAAACTACGGCCCGCGGGCCGGATCCGGCCCGTTTGAAATGAATAAAACTATTGAAAAAAAAGACCGTACCCTTTTCTGTAATGATGTTTACTTTGAATTCATATTAGTTCACACAAACACTCCATCCATGCTTTTGTTCCGGCCCTCCGGTCCAGTTTAAGAACCCATTGTGGCCCTCGAGTCAAAAAGTTTGCCCACCCCTGCTCTAGAGAATTGACCTGACCCAGGGTTCGTCCAGAGCCCCCTTCCTCCGCTCGAGAAATGCTACCTCTTCCGGGGACATTGTGCTCCTCACCTCATGCTGTGATGGATTGTTCCGGTTCCAGTTCACCAGCCTGCACGCTGCTTGCTGTGCACAGCTCTGGGTTATGTTTGTGTAACGGCGTTTTTGCTTTTGTACCTTTAATTTTGTTGGTTCTCTTCACTGCCTGGGGTGATTTGCAAGCACAGTTGTGATTTGTCAGCATGGAGAGTTACCAGGTACCGTGGGGATCCCGAACTGTCTGTGAAGGGACGGCAGAGTGGCAGAAAACCACTGTTTGTCTAATCTTGACTTATTTTGTGTTACTGCCCAAGGCCTTGAAATAAAGACCGCGTGACTTTGTGTTTCATTTATACAGGTTTGCTCCCTGCCTCCCCCCGCCCCCCCCGCTTCTGCTAGAGTAGGAGGCCTCGTTATTGTGTTTGAGTAAGACCTGCCTCCCTTACAGGACCGTCCACCCTGCTTCGCTGAGATGTGTCTCTGTACAGTCCACCTGTCCTCACGCTCCTGCCTGGGCACGTTGTGTCCTGTCCAGGAGCTGGCCAAGAGGAGCCCGAGGCCGGCCCCTGGGAGGGATTGGGGTTCTGTGTCCGCCTGAGAGGAGCTTCCAGGGCTCTGCTGTCTCCATCCAACGTCTCTCCAGCCTGCTCTGCCCGTCCCCAGGCCCCTGGCCCGCTGCAACAGAACCTGCTTCTGTGTCTGGGAGAAGCCCCCTGATTTTGGGGCCCCAAATCAGTTCGCCTTTGGAAAGTCCTGCCTTTGGCCACCCCACTCCCACCCCTGAGGCCCACTGATGTTCAGTCTCTGTTCTTGCATGTTTGGGAGTAATTTCCTATTTTGATTTTATTAAAAATAAATCCTCCCCTCAGCTGCCTCCCCCCACCCCAGGCAGTCTTGGAGGTGCATGGACTAGTGAAATGATGCTGCGTGTTTCCAGTGCCGAAGAAATTCTGCAATATAAGCATTTCTAGAAAGAGAGTCTTGGACTCGACATGATACCACACTGGGGGAGAGGGTGTGTTGTGGTTGGTGTGCCCACCTCCCTAAATTGGGCCTGAAGAGCAGAGCCCTTCCCCTGTAGTGAGGAGAGGGACCCTGGGCCCCGAGGGAATAGTGGGCTGCTGGGGTGTGCGGTTGATGGAGCTGAGAGGTTGGGGCCTAGGACAGGATTGGTGGGGGTGTTATCTGTCAGCTCATGGGGCAGGTCCGTGAGTGGGAGGGCTGAGGGGAGGCGCTAGTGATGAGAACCTGAATCAGGCTGAATGGAGGGTGCACAGCTGAGACCTGTAAGGACCAAGGGTGTGGACACTGTTGGGCTGGACTGTTCCAGACTCGAAGTACAGAGTCCCCTGCCCTTGGGACCTGGTGTTCTAGTGAAGGACAGTCCACAATCAAGGGGGCAGGTAGCTGTGAGAGGAGCTCAGGGGGGAAAGTGAGCCCAGGGGTGGTCAGTGGGGTCTCCCTGCGGATGTGTGGGAAGAGGTGACGGGCTCCTATGGGGAGCCTGCCCTGAGCTTTCGGGAGCTGAAGGGAGGTCACCTTGGCTGGTTTGGACAATGAGGATCAGAAAGTGGGGTCGTGGCTGGGTGGTGGGCTCTGTGAAAGGACTTAGCCGTCCCCTCAGGAGGCCTCACAGTTTGCCTGGAGCCCCAGGCTCCCTTCTGAAGGGATGATGTGCAGAACCTTCAGCAAAATCCCTGCCCAGAGGGAATTTGACAATACTGAGTGCAAGTAAAACATCCAGTGGCTTAAATATGTTTGCTTCTTTATGATTAACTGTATCTGTAAGGTACTTTATTTTTTTTTAAATAAAATCAGCCCTTTTTAAAATATATTTTATTAGTTTTTTACAGAGAGTAAGGGAGAGAGATAGAGAGTTAGAAACATTGATGAGAGAGAAACATTGATCAGCTTCCTCCTGCACACCTCCCACTGGGGATGTGCCCGCAACCAAGGTCCGTGCCCGCAACCAAGGTACATGCCCTTGGCTAGAATTGAACCTGGGACTTCTCAGTCCGCAGGCTGACGCTCTATCCACTGAGCCAAACCAGTTTCGGCAAGGTACTTTAGTATACTCACCACAAGGACAGAGGAACATGATGAAGAAATTTACAAGGAGACAGCAATGGTGGTAAACTTCCCCAGAATTTCAAAGTATCTGGTTGGAGATCACCATAATGGGGCAGGATATGCAATAGAGGAAATCATGTTTGAGATGAGCCTGACGTACAGTACATCTGTCTCAGGAAATCATCTACAGAAACCCCACACCAGCCTCCACGTGGTCTCCAGGGGAGGCTCTGCTGTTTTTTTGTTGTTCTTTTTTATAAAGAGGAAGGGAGAGGGAGAGAGAGCTAGAAACATTGATGAGAGAGAGACATCGATCAGCTGCCTCCTGCACACCCCCTACTGGGGTTGTGCCTGCAACCCAGGTACATGCCCTTGACAGGAATCGAACCTGGGACCCTTCAGTCCGCAGGCCGACGCTCTATCCACTGAGCCACACCGGTTAGGGCCGGAGGCTCTGCTTTAAGAAGCACTGCAAGTTGTTTGACTTGTGCTTCCTGTGTCGCTGGCAGTGTTCTTAGACATTAGAAACGTGGGTGTCTCTTCGTGAAGCACAGTGTCTAGTTCACCGTGGCCCTCTTCTCTCCAGGGTCTTAAAATTTTGTAGAAATCCCTCAGAATCACCTTCTCCCATGGGAAACTTATCCCTCAAAGACTAAGCTAGGTTTATTGAAATAAAGAAATGACTTTATTCAGAGATCCTCAGATTTTAGTCCTTAAGTAAAAGAAAGATGATAATCATGACAGTGACAGTAATAGTGTGTGATTTTTCTGAGGTCCGTAATATTGATTCTCTTAGCCTCTGAGGTGAAAGGAGACAGACTTCCACTGAGTTCAGGTGGTTCCTATTTTTATTTCAGAGAGGAAGGGAGAGAGAGCTAGAAACATCAATGATGAAAGCGGATCATTGGTTGGCTGCCTGCTGCACGCCCCCTACTGGGGATCGAGCCCACAACCTGGGCATGTGCCCTTGATTGAAATCGAACCCTGGACCCTTCAGTCCGCAGGCCAACACTCTATCCACTGAGCCAAACCGTCTAGGGCTGTGACAAAGTGTTAGACAAATCTTTAACCTCATTCAACATGGAAGAATTCACACTAGAGAAAAGCCCTATGAGTGTACTGATTGTGGGAATTTCTTCAGTGAGAGCACTGCTCTCATTCAACATCAGAGTGTTCACACTGGTGAAAAACTGTGATTGGATAAAAGCCTGTGAGGAGTGTCCGGTGGCATCCTTGCCCTCTGGCTCCAGCTCTAACACTGGGTCTACACCCCCTGGGCAGGAGCGAGGGACCATCTCCACACACACTCCTTGTCTGCGGGGGCATCGGACCTTCTCACTAAGGGGGATGCGAAGGTGAGCATCATCTCAGGGACATTCTGGTCAGGTTTGGTCATAAGGGAATCTCCTACAAACTTCAGAGAGGGAGAGAAGGGGAGGGGGAGAAACATCAATGATGAGAGAATCATTCATTCATTGGCTGCCTCCTATATGCCTCCCACTGGAGATTGAGCCTTAAACCCAGGCCTGTGCCCTGACTGGGAATCCAACCGAGACCTCCTGGTTCATAGGTGGACGCTCAACCACTGAGCCATGCGGGCCAGGCTCCTACAAACATGTAAAACGGGCTCATGTACTCTCCTTCCGGCAACAACAATATCTCATTGAAGACAGTTCTCCTGCGGACTGAAGGGTCCCGGTTCGATTCCAGTCAAGGGCATGGACCTCAGTTGCAGGCACATCCCCAGTGGGGGGCGTGCAGGAGGCAGCTGATTGATGTTTCTCTCATCCCGTGTTTCTGACTCTCTGCCCCTCTCCCTTCCTCTCTGTAAAAAATCAATAAAAAATATTTTTAAAAAAGTTTAGGAAAGCTTGGCCTGTGTGGTTCAGTGGTTGAGCATCAAACCATGAACCTGGACATCCCGGTTTGATTTCAATAGGGCACCTGCGGGCCTTGCGGCTGGATCCCCAGTGGGGGCGTGCAGGAGGCAGCTGATCAATGATTCTCCCTCATCATTGATGTTTCTATCTCTCGCTCCCTCTCCCTTCCTCTCTGAAATCAATAAAAATATATTTGAAATAAAAATAAAGAGGAGGCAAAGCCCACCTATTCCACTTGCCACCCACGTCCCAGCTGAGCTTGAGTCCTTTTGCACAATAAGCCCTTTCCCCCGTGCCTTTCCCGCGCTGTGGGCATGGACTACATTTCCCAGAATGCGTAGAGTGGAGCGGCAGCATCGCTATCCAATAAGAAGATGGACAAGAGGGACTCCCGCGGTTGACGCTTTACGGGAGGGCGGTACTTCCGGCTACTGCCTCGGCGGCCGCGTTAGCTGCTCTGGGACTGGTTTGTAGGACTTTCCGGAGCCCCGCTCAGTCAGGACCCAGGTGCCGGGTCTAAATTTCCGGGAGTCGTTCTCCGCGCCGCACAAAAGCGGGTGTGAGGCTCGGCGACCCCGCGAGGGAC